GCATGAGAACTGAATAAACTGGCTGACATGGTTCTCAAATATTTGCATCTTCTTCCTTACCTTCTGATATCCGATCAGTTATTTTTCCAATATAGACGTTCGTACATTTTAATTTATACGTATGTGCCACTGAGATTAGTTCCTCCTTAATTTATATATATTTTTGTGGATCTTGAGCTGATAAATAATAAATTATTTATATATATATATATATATATATATATAAAATCTGGTTACAAAATGTCTACATGTTCATATATGAAAACATTATAATGCTTTAGACCAAACTTAATTTTACATGTAGAGTGCAGCTGTAGCCACAGCTTGCATGTATTTTACCTTTACCAAGCTCTTAATAAAAATTGTTCGTTGTTGTCTAAAGTACAGAAAAATAATTTTCAAAGAACTATTTTCAATCATTTTGAATTTCTAGAGTTAAAATGTGATGGTCCACAGACAATTTGTAATCCTTTTCCTGTTAAAACCTTTTGGTAAATTTTGATGCAGTTGCACTGTGTAAGTTTATGGAAACACGACTTCAGGTGGTTTTGAGTAGAGCAAAATCTTTCATTTTAAATTTTGATCACACCTGTTTCTACTTAGTTCCCCCAGCAACAGCGTGCTATCAAAATGGTTACAAGACCACCCTGAAATTTGAAAGCAGCGCAATGGAGTGAAATCATTGTTTCCGCCCGCTTTCATTTTTATGACAGATGTTGCTCTGATGTTCTGCATTTGCAGCAAGTGTTTCAGATCTTTTCAAAGTTAAACAAATTTAGGTGGAACCATCAGTGCTGCTAAAACACTGGATGTGAGCATGTTTTATTCTCTTTTGCACTACCTGTTTCAAGCTGCCGATTTTTCTAAAGTTTGTCAGGATAGCTGTTTGTTTGGTATTTTGTAAGCTTTTAATTCTTTGAGAAGGCGAAGCAACGGCATGTGAAACACGAACACCTTGAATATATTAAACTGTTAATGTCGGAAAATGTGGGTCTTTTGTGTCTGTCAAAAAGGGAAAAAAAAAATTCAAGATGTTGAAGTCAACTCTCGAATCCTAGGCCATTCTGATTGGGAAAAGCTCAAAAGCTTCCTGTTATTTCCCGGTTTCTCTTGTCCCTTGGAAAGGGATGGGCTACCTCACTGGCCATTAGGTAGTGCAGGAGACATGGTGGGGTGGGCAAGCATCATCACTACAAGATAGTGCCAGATGTTTGTCTGACTAGAACAATGATGGCATGGATGTCACTCCACTTCCTCAAACTCAATCTTTTGAAAACTGAGCTCATACTATTCCCTCCAGCAAGTGCCCCTGCCCCTGACTTCTCCATCAAGATCAATAATACAACCATCAGTCCCTCCCCTCATACCAGGGTACTAGGTGTAACCCTTGACTCCCATCCTTCCTTTCAGGCCCAAATGCAATCACTGTTCAAATCTTGTAGACTTCACCTCCACAACATCTCCAAGATACGCCTGTTTTTAACCTCGGAAACTACTAAGCAACTTATTCACTCCTTTATCTCTCACCTTGACTATTGTAACTCCCTCCTCATTGGCCGACCTCATCGCAGTCTTTCCCCTCTTCAGTCTATCATGAATGCTGCTGCCAGACTCATCCACCTTACTAACCTTCCATATCTGCCATCCCTCTCTGCTAATCCCTCCACTGGCTTCCCATTGCCCATCAAAAAAAATTAAAACCATTAAACAATCACATATGAAATCATTTATAACTCTGCCCCAAGTTACATCACCAATCTTGTCTCCAAATATCACCCAAACTGTCTTCTCCACTCCTCCCACGACCTGCTCTCTAGCTCCCTTGTCTCCTCCTCCCTTGCTCATCTCCAGGACTTCTCCAGAGCCTCCCCCCATCCTCTGGAACTCTCTACCCCATCTATCAGACTATCACCTACTCTGCCGACTTTTAGGCGATCTCTGAAAACCTATCTCTTCAGGGAAGCCTATCCTCCCTTCAGCTAATAATGGAACCTTCTATTCCTTCTGCCAGTCCATCCCCCATATTTATTACCTTTTGTACCACTAACCCCTCCCTCTTAGATTGTACGTTCTAAGGAGCAGGGCCCTCCTAACCCTCTTGTATTGAACTGTATTGTTGCTGTGTTGTCTCCCTTTATTTTGTAAAGCACTGAGAAAACTATTGGTGCTACATAAATCCTGTATAATAATAAGAATGATGGTTTTGGCCTGCACATTAAACGTGTTAGCAAAGTGTTTTCTTAAATCACTTTTACAACTTAATCTTCATATAAACCTATAAGAATGAGAGTCCTGGAGTGTGCAAAAAAAGTAATTTCCAGGTCCCACTTTGCAGGACACATTCTTTAATTCCCTAATCCCCCTCCTTATCACCTCATTTACACCATTCTGAACCATTCTCATGTAGGTGCTTACTTACTCCTTCCAAAGCTGGAGCCTTCAGGGTTGTCTTTATTTTGGCTGATGAAAATCGAGTGTCCAGGATGCTTGAACCTGGACACGAACGTTCCATAGACTTGAATAGGATATTTAGCAATATGGGTGCATTCTCCCACATGTAGGATGTAAATGCACAAGCTTTTGGCAGCCTTGTTGTATAATCACCTCAGGAGTCACAAAATTGTAATAGTACGTAGATGGATTATCCCCAGTAAAATAATTTGCTGAATGTATATTGTCTCAATCATTGTCTGAGAAAGGACATGTGTATACGCATTACTTAGTTCAATGTGTAAGATGTATTCAGCCACTGTACTGAAATTTTATTTGTCTTTGTAACATGTAATGTTTTAATATTTGTAAAAATAAAATTGGCTTTTTTTTTATACATGTGCTTAAGTTGCCTATAAAGTCCCATATATCTTTTTTTTGGGGATAATCCATCAGGTTTTGGTAGTCTGCCACTATATTTTGTTAGGTAGGCACCTGTGGGTTTTTGGGTGGTGATCATACTAGCTTACTGTGTTTGCCTGAGTTATTATTTTAAAGTAGCTGGGAAAGAAGGTAATGTTCATTAATGTGTTTGTTTTCCCAGTAGTATTCCAGGGTTTAGATAAGGCTCCATCCTGTGCTCATTACCTGTTCTGACACTCCTAACACCTGTTTACATTCAAGTTTGAAGCTTCTTTGCCAGTTAAATTTTATTAAAGGAGAAGTACAGCCAAAGCTTTGTTGGCTGTACTTCTCCTGTTCGTTCTGCACTCCTGTGACCTGTCTGAAGTCTGCTGTCGGCCGACGTCACTCAACCGGCTCAGGTTGGGGAAAGATCTCTACTTCAAAGTTGGGATCCACCCCAGAGTCTGGAGCGGCACCTGGCTCAGCCTCTCAGCGATCTGCTGAGAGCCTGAGCCAGCCACTCCCTTCCCCTACACAGCCTTTTGCTCCAGTGAGTGTGGTGTGGTGGGGGGGGGGGGGGGCAGAGCAGAGAGCAGTAACTGACAGTCATCGCTCTCTGCTCACAGCAGCAGTGCAAACTCTGAGATCAGCGCCATTTGATTGTTGAGTTCTCACACTTAGAGCTGGCAGGAAACTGATACTGCATCCACCTAGGTAGTATAATTGGGGGGGGGGGGGGGGAACAATACTTTCTCTTTTAAGCCCAAACAGCATTTACCCCAGGCCCGTCAAAATGAAGTCTATAGTAATGGAGCTTGGATAGCAGAGCTCCAAATGCGAGTTTTTATCTCAACCCCTTAGGTTTCTTGATGAAAATCTTTCTATATATAAGTAAATGTCTGACAAAAAGGAATTCCAGAAATGCAAATATAATATAAATAGCCCTCTAATATTTATATTGCTTTACAGTGCATAGTTACAGACTGAAAATGTGTTCAGCTTTTCTGAGAAAACCGGATGTTGTGTCTTAATAATTAGATCTTTGGCCAGGGATCAGTGTCTTAAAAAGGTTCTGTTCCTTCTTTAAAGTACATTTTCATGCACAATCAACTGTAAGGGCTCTTGCACATGGCCACACAGAGTAAAATATGCTCGTAGTTGTGATCCTTGGAATCCACAGCTGGAGTGTAATTTTGCCTATTGACATGCATTACTGAATAGCCTATGTGTGTAACCACTTACAAGTTCATGCATATGGGTGTTTTTTTTTTACAAAATGTAAACTTTTACACCACAACAACAGGCATATTTAACTCTGTATGGTTGTACCCTTTAATGTATGCTCATTTCTAATTTGTACCACTCTTCAAAATTACCATAAGCACTGCAAAACCGTTTTGTGGCACTGACTAATTCAGCACTTATGTGAGATCTGTTTTATTAACCTTTTCTGGACTATTTGTTCCTTCCCACCTGAGCACACTAAAAATGGACTCTGCTGTCGTACAATCATTCTTCACTGCCACTGCTGTCTGTCACATTGTCATTTTTAAAGTAGTAATAAAACTGCAGAGATTTTTTACATCAATACATTCGATAAACCTAATTAACATTCCCTAATAAAAAAAATTTATTATTGTGCCCAAGCACTCTTGGTTTGTGTTACAAAGTTTCCATGTCCTGCATTTTAAACGCTGCTTCCCTGAACCTCCTGCTAGGGAGAGCAAGCATTGACTAAGTCACAAAGGAAAATGCACAGTCTTCAGGTTCTGTCAGTCATGTAGCTTGGAGGGGGGAACAGGGGTGTGGCTTGCTGTCGCTAGGTTACAGGTTTTGTGATTGCATTGATGTACAGGCAGCATAAGCATAGGGACAGATGGCTGGGAGTGTGCACACAAAGGAGATTCCATAGAACTCTGCATGGCATTGAAGCCACCCTAAAACCGGAAACGCACACTAGCGATCTTTGGACCAGTTCAGTTAGGAAGGTGAAGCAGCAGACAAGGTAAGTGCTAATGTCAGCTGCTATAATAGCCCATAAAAAATGTAGGGTTTAATAACACTTTAAAATAGTAAGCATAGCTGAAGGACTTGTTTTAGGATCTTTATCAAAAGCTTGGTATGGCCTGTAGTATAAAATTTATATTGTCATGTGACAGTTAGCAGTAAAATCATTAACCACTTCCCGACCGGCTGTTGCATATAAACGGCTGGACGGTGGCACTGCAGGGTCGGGTGGGCGTTTATTAACGGCCTACCCGAACCCTGCTTGTGCGCGCGCAGCACCGCAATCCAGTGCCCGCTGTGTCCTCCGGACACAGTGAAACGCCGATAGTCGGACAGGACCTCTGTACGAGGTCCCGATCATGTGATCACTGATTGGCCAATCAGTGATCATATGCAAAATAGTAAGCAAGATGTCACTTCTGACATCATTGCTTACTACGTGTGAAATCTGTGAATGATCACAGAGGTCACATGGTACAAGGCTATTCACAAAAGCCTTGTACCATGTGACAAGCTGTGACCAATCACAGTTCACTCAGTACTTCTCAATGAGTGCAAGAATGCACACAGAGAGAAAGAGAAATGATTGCTTTTACATCCTATATGGGTGTAAAAGCAATCGGTGTAAAAAAAAAAAAAAAAAAAAAAAAATCTTCATCACCCCCCCACAAGTAGTACAGTGTCACCATGGTGACACTGTACTGCTAGGGTGACAGTATGTAAAAAAAAAAAAAAAATATAAAAAAAACACATAAAAATGTAAAAAAAAATGTTTAAAAATTTATAATTTTTGGTTATAAACTAATTTGGATTTTTTTTATTTTACTAAAAAGATAACGGAATACATTTTGGCTAAGATTGATGATGAAATATTATTTATTTGCAAAATTTTATAAAAAAACACTTTGTTTCAAAATTTTTGGACATTCATTTACATAGCAAAAAAAAATACAAATCCCAGTGGTGAATAAATACCACCAAAATAAATCTTTATCTGTCTCCAAAAAAATGGTAAAAAATGCATTTGGGTACAGTGTTGCATGACCGCGCAATTGTCATTCAAAGTGTGATAGCGCTAAAAGCTGAAAATTGCCCTGGTCAGGAAGGGGGTAAAAGTGTCCGGTCTGGAAGTGGTTAATGATATGGCAGGGGAGAAGATTCAGTAAAGCAAAAAAAATCTTGGCTGTGTCTCTGTAGCATGTCTTGAGTCCTTTTGGTGAGATAGGCCTCATGCACATTAGGAGTCAAAATACACCATTTTTAAGGGCATTTGACTTTTTTTTCTTCTTCTATGCTTCTAAACGCCCCTCTATGTTAGCCTATGTGTCCATGCACACAAAAGCATTTACAGGCAATTAGAGGCAGAAAAAAAACCCAGGGCCAGCGTGTTCAGGAACATTCATTCCAATGGCCAGAATCTGTTTAGTGGAATGAATGAACAGTTAAACACTTGACGCGCCTAAACGTGACTTGAGGCGCATTTTCAACACTGTATTTTCCTCCTCTAGAGCAAGGCTTTCAGTAGAGGAAATTTAATGTCCTGTGTACATGAGGCCATAAGGTTTAGATTAGCAGAGTGGCTTTGCAGAGTCTCTTAACCAATAGTTTAGCTGAGGGATTAATTCTATTATATCACTTTGTGGTGAAGAGTTTTTCAGAATCCCACCAGCAAACAGTGGTGTGTATAACTGTATGATACTTAGCAAATTTAATATAAATGGCACTTCTGAAAGACATTAGACTGCTTTTAAGGTGCCGCCCGGTATACTTTTTATGGGCCCATAAATCTCTGTCTCAGCTTGATCTCTTGTCTTTTTGCTTTTATAGCTGTTTTACAGATGCCTTCTACTTCTATTTATGGTTTATTTGTTTCCAAATCTCAGAAAGAAGCAGTCTGTCACATGCTTGTCTCCTTTTGCGCTATTTGGGGTCTACTTTTATTAATATGGAGAATCCATGCAAGCTTTAACTTAAAACAAACTAACTCGCAGTATCTTTAAGGGTCCCCTAGAAGAGGAAATTAGGGGAAATCTTCCAGTGGAGACACCTCTTTCAGTGACAATTGTCCCCTCACTTTGAAAAGTTTTCCTATCACTTCATTTAATCTTCCAAGAACAGAAGTGAAGGGAAATTTTCCCAACTGGATAAAGGCAGCAGTGAAGAACAACCTGACAGGTGTTCTTTGCTTTCCTGCCCTAGAAAAAGATAACGATTAGATATACAATGCACTTTTAAAGTATTTAGACCCCCTTCACTTTTTTCAGTTTTGTTATGTTGCAGCTTGATACTACAGTTGTTTCAATTAATTTTTTTTCCTGATTAATCTACATTCAGTATCCCACATTGAGAAATTGAAAACAGAATCTTAGAAATTTTTGACAATGTATGAAAAGGAAAAGTTGAAATATATTAGCATATGTATTCAGACCCTTTGCAACAACACTTGAAATTTAGCTCAGGTGCCTCCTATTTCTCTTGACCATTGCTGAGATGTTTCTATACCTTGATTGGAGTCCACCTGTGGTAAATTAACTCGATTGGGCATGATTTGGAAAGGCACACCTCTCTATAAGGCTTCTTAGTTGACTGAACTCTAGAGATCCTGTGTAGAGATGAGAAAAAGTTCCAGGACAACCATCACTGCAACCATCCACTGATCTGGGCTTTATGGCTCATGAAAGCCCGCTTAGAGTTTGTAAAAAAGCACCTGAAGGACTCTAACTGTGAGGAACCAGATTCTCTAGTCTGATGAAACCACATTTGAACTTGGCCTCAGTTCTGAATGTTATGTCTCAAGAAAACCAGGCACTGCTCATCACCTGTCCAATACCATCCCAACAGTGAAGCATGGTGGTGGCAGCATCGTGTTGTGGGGTTATTTTTCAGCAGCAGGGACTGGGAGACCAGTCAGGGTTGAGGGAAGCTGAATGGAGCAAAGTACAGAGCTATCCTCAATAAAAACCTGTTCCACAGTGCACAGGACCTCAGATTGGGCCGATGGTTCACTTCCCAGCATGACTAAACACACAGCCAAGACAACACACGTAGCTTAGGGACAACTCTTTGAATGTCCTGGAGTGGCCCAGCCAGAGCCCTGACTTGAACCCTATTTGAACATTTCTGGAGAGACTTGATAATGGCTGTCCACCGATGGTCCCCATCCAACCTGACTGAGCTTGGGAGGATTTGCAAAGAAGAATGGCAGAAAATCCCCCAAACCAGGTGTTGTGTCATAACCAAAAAGACACAAGGCTGTAATTGCTGCCAAAGGTGTTTTCAACAAATTACTTAACAAAAGGTTTGACTAATGTACTGTACATGTGTTACTTCCGTTTTTTCTTTTTTAATAATTATTTATTACAGATACTTATAGAACACTGTCAAGTGCTTTAAACCTATATTGTACATTATCATCAGTCCCTAACCCTCAAGGACCTTACAATCTAAGGTCGTAACTCACATTAATACATACACCTACTAGGTCCAATTTGGATAGGAATCCATTAACCTACCAGCATGTCTTTGGAGTGTGGGAGGAAACCAGAGTACCTGGAGGAAACCCACGCAGACACAGGAAGAACATGCGAACTCCAGGCAGGTAGTGCTTTGGTTGGGATTCAAACCAATGACCCTAGTGCTGCTGGGCAGAAGTGCTACCCACTTAGCCACTGTGCTGCCCACAAATGTAGACATTTCCAAAATTCGATTTTCACTTTTCCGTTATGGGGTACTGAGTGTAGATTAATGTGAAAACAATTAATTTAGGCAATTGTAGTATGTCTACAAGGCTTATATCCTGCCTACATTCAAACAAAGATTAAAACATATTCTGGATAAGAACTCGTGCAACTAAATCTTTTAATGTGCTCAGTGCAGAATTTTTGTTATAGTTTCTTGAAGAGCTTGTTCTTTCTTTTTCTCGTTGTGTACAAGTTTTTGGTTGTATAAAATTGTGGTTTGTTGTTCTTTCTTCTTTGGTCCAGGTTACTGTGATCATTGTGCACCACTTAGTAAAGGGAAGCAAGGTTGATTACGGCGTTCTTTCTGTTATAGAGTAGGGAAATGGATACTTGTACTGTGTCTGGGGGAATTGAAGCTACACAGTATCATTCTATATTACTTGGGCCTTTTTCATTTATGGAAGTGGATTTCAGGAAACCGCCTGTGATAAAGAATCAATGTGACTGTACTAACTAGTAGCTAAAAAATGTGGAGTAAAAGGTCCCCAGAGAGCTTTCCATATTTATCCCAGCCTGCTATCAAAACCTAATTATTCCCATATTGTGATAGTCTAAGCTCCATTTTACAGTTCATGGAGCTCTGATGGAAGTCTGCCCGAAATTAGTGACAAATATCATTACAAGATGTTTGCTATGGAACTCTACCGCTTCACAGGATGACAGCTTTATGTTCTACTTGATTTACTTAACAGTATTAAATTTAGTATATCTGACAATGCAAGGCTTCTGATTGCTGTTCAGTGTGCATCCTGTGGAAATAAGATAACTCGGCTTAGGAAAAAATAGCTGCTTCTGACTTGTGCGGTTTCCCTGTACAATGTATCCTTTAAGGAAGTTTACTTGTAGGTTTTATGTTGATCCACCCCAATCTATCCAAAGCTGCTACAAAGTGTTTGAGCTGGCTATATTCAAATGTGCAATCCACAGTTACCAGGCATTGGCATCATGGCTGTAATTGTACTATGTATGCCGTATACTTTATTGTTAAAAAGCAAAAATAAACACCTTAAAAATAAAAAACAAACTCTGCTCATTCCTGTGCTATGGACAAAGTTTTTACATTTTCTTAAAGGATAAAATCACCTTTTGGAGAAAAAAATATATTTGTATGGCCAGGCAATTTTACTTTAGAACAGGAAGATCAATGAACTACCAGTGCCTTCTTAGTTCACTGAGAACTACAAGCTGTCAGTCGCAGTGGCTGACAGTACTTGTAGTCTATTCATTCACATGAGACTGTTAATGAAGGACATGGTTGTATGGGTGGAGCCCCACATGATTGTGCTTTTTTCAAAATGTGACAGTGGATTCAGGGAGAGGACCCCCCACCTGCTGTTGGGGGGGGGGGGGGGGTGCATGCTGAATATGGTACATGTTGCACCCTAAATATGTACATACTCAGACATAAACTAACATATTCAGAAAGGTGAACATAGACTTTAACTGCTAACGTCTTAGCTGCAGGCACTATGTAGAAATTAATCTTAAAAATTCACAACAGAACCACTAAAACTGCAATTCCTCTCCCCCGTATCTTTGACAGTAGTGACTTTGCAGACTTTCAGCCTACTGATGTAAACAAAGAGCTGGTGCTGTAATCTATTACAAGGTGAGGTCAACCAGACTTCAGACTCATTTGTCATTTTTGAAGGTGCAGCTAACCTACTTCACAGTGCCTGCAACTACACAGTTCAGTAGGAACTTGTCTACCGAAAGGTCTGTATATTTTTAGAGATCCTGACC